AAGTAATGAATTAGGAAAATGTAGTCGATGTAAGAAAATGTATTATTGTGGAAAAAATTGTCAACAAAAAGATTGGATTCAGCATAAATTTGAATGTAAAGTTTATAAAAATAATCAACTAAAAGCTATTGAACAAACAGATGATCTATTTTTTCGATTTGTTTTACGAACATATCTGTACTTAATAAACAGTCCCGAAAGTTTTTACGAAAGGCGTCAATTATTAAACGATGAAAATTCAGCCGTTTGTCTTAATGATATCATTAATCAGGAACTGCCATCCCATGATCAAGAAAAAATTAATCATTTTATGTATTTGAACCAACAATTCAAATTGCTGAAAATCGAATTGGATCCGGTAAGAATGTTGAAATATCATGGTATATGTTACGAATATGTTACGAAAATTATCGATTACGGAATGCAACAATTAGGTTCAGGCATCTATATTGCCGAATCACAATTGAAACATTCGTGTTCACCAAGCGCTACAACTTTGTTCAATAATACTCAACTTGTAATGCGTGCAACTAGATCGATCAAATCTGGTGAACAAATTACCATCAATAATATAATATCACAGATAGGAAGATCGCTTGAATGGAAATTTCTTCCTAATTTCTCATTTATTTGTAAAGAATGTGCATTGAAATGCGAAACTTATTCCTTTAAAAAAATTCAACAATTAGCCTTAGAATTTATTTCAAAACCTTTGCCGAACGATTTGAACGATCAAAATGCAATTTTGAAAAAAATTTTGTCAATGAAAAACGAGATCTGTAGTGAATGTGATTCGAGTTTAATTTTCGGTAAAATTATGATAATGCAAAGTTATATAATTCTTCATGATATTGTTGAAGAATTATCTGTTGCAGAAATGGCAAAAAGATTGGAAATCAAATTACCGGCTGTTTATAATGAAATATTTGAAAATGTCTATTTTAATCGAGAAATAGCACCTATTAGCATTATGAAAGCATTGGCAAATGTTGAATTTAATGTTAAAAAAAATTGAAAAATTGAATTTCATCATATTTGTATTTAATCCATTACATTTTTAAAAATCATACTTTGTTTATTCATTAAAAAAA